TCTTTCCCTTATAAAATATTTGTGTATATATTTTATCACATCCCTTGGGCTAAAGATCCTTGAGATTAGGACCTCTGGAATAACTTAGCTTTGTTTCCACCTTAGTGCCTAGCATAAGAGTAAAATCATAGATGGTCAATATTTATTGAATTAATCAATACTCTCCGTTATACTAGAGGGACTAGAAAATATACTCATGTCCCTAGTTAGACTTCCCTATCACATTCATACTAATTTTTGGATATGGATCATATGAATCAGTGAATATAATAAAATATAACATAGAAATTAATTGATTAAACCATGTTTCAGGCCTTATGCTATGTGCTGGAATAGAAAGATTAATAATCTATAAATCCAGTCTTATAGGAACATATGGTCTGGGGGAGATACACATATTAAGTAAAAATATTTATGAAGTATGAGATAAATAAGTATACATGGTATACTTGTGTTTAGAGATGGGGTTAAATAAATTTTGTGAAGTATGAGATAAATAAAACTCTTAATGCCATTCTAAGAGAGTTTGGTCTGTCAGTCATGGGACTCCATTGAGAGATTTAAAAAGAGAAGTTAATTCAGTTATAATTGCATTTTAAAGATATATAGAGGATAGATTAGGGAAGGACATCAGTAAGTAGCCATTTACTACAATCCAGAGATAATGAGGAGCTGCAGAAATACTGTGGAGATAGAGAGGAGATTCAAGTGATAATGAGGAAATATTAAGGGTAGTACTTGGTTCCCAGACGGATGTGATATACAAGGGAAAGGAGCAGTCTCTCCATAAAATTGAATTTGTTTTGGTTTTAAAATTTAGTGTATGTCTAATCTAAAAAAGAAAGTTTGAAAGAATTTTGAGCAAGAGAAAATAGAAATATAAGTATAGAGATATTGATAGTTGACATTTTTAAAAAACCACTATCAGTGGGAAATAATACAGAAATTTTAGGATAAGTATGATATCTCCCTTTTGTATGTGCCCAGTGGGACTGCATTCATGAGTTTGACCAAGTAGTAATGGAATGACCATCTCTATCGGTAAAGGCAAAAAAACATTTTTCTATCTTTCATGAGCATTTTTAGCTTGAAACATTATTTATATATTTTTCTTCTACAGATTTTTGTAAAAATAACTCAACTTATTATCACTTGCTTTTTCTGTATATGCCTGAGATTCAAGTTAATTATTGTTTAATGGTCTTACGATGTTAGAAGGGATAATGGATGTAAAGAAAATGTTTATCTAATTGAGGGAAATGCATTTTTTTAATAGATTTTTATGAAACCAGATTTTGCCTTGGACGATTCCTTAACTTTTAATTCAGTTTTACCATGGTCTCATTTTAATACTGCTGGTGGAAAAGGAAATCGTGATGCAGCTTCCTCAAAGTTGCTACAAGAAAAGGTAGTTTCTTTTTTACTTTTCCCATGTAGAAAACTATTTTAATTAAGTGGTACTGTTTGTGTGAGTTCAGAGTTAAGTTATTTAGTAGGCACTAATTCCTTTAATTTCATCTTTATAGTTACTGATAATTAGAACCCTTCAGATCTTAACTGATAAAGTAATAGCTCTTTGTTTCAATGCAATGCAAGTTGTGCTGTTGAAAAAGGAAAAGGTTATTGTTTGAGTGCTTCTTATCTGAAACAGCAGTTGATAGCAATCTCAATTGAAAGGATGTATTAGATGACGCAATTAATTGTTCTACATTTATTCCAAACAGTATATTGGCTAATTTTATATTCTTTATGACTTAAAGCACAGAAAATTAACTTTTCCTGAGGTACTATTTTTCCTTGTTTACACATAGTAATGATGATTATTTTGAAGCAAAAATATCATAGTTAAAAAATGCAGTGTTCCTTTAGCTTTGCAAAGCGTAGCCTTTTGCGTGTTATTAGTCAGCAGTTTTTCAAAATTTTACAATGTTCTGTATTTCAGAAGTCAACACCTTGAAAGTCATTTAAAATGTAAAACTTTAAACATAACTCACAGATAAGAATCTTTTAAAACTGGAATAGGAAGTAAAGACCTTTGATCACTGTTCTTTCTTAGCACTCAGTTTAGAGCTTTTCTAAAACTGACTGTGGTTCCTAAACTGAGATGAAAGCATTTCATTTTAGTCTGGTGACAGCTCTTGGCAGTCTGAAAGCTTGCCTCAGGTAGACTATTCAATAAGTTGGGTCCAGTCCTCCTCAGCAACCGAAGAAAGGGCTACTTAGGGAGGAGAGGAGAAGAAATGTGGGGAAAGAATTGTGAGTATTCCATTTCTCACAGTTGCAAATGAAAATGAATTCACTTTTTTTTTTTTGGCAACATTTTCATCTATAAAGGTTTTCCTTGAGTAAGAATAAATTCACGAATCTTATGAAAACAATGGATATATAGACACAGGCTCACTCCCAGACTACTTTTTCACATTCCAAGTATATCCCCTGGTAGAATAATACCTTAAAAGAGAAAAAGAACAAAAGCCAATAAAAATTTCACCAATCTATACAGATACTATTAGGAATACTTTAAAAATTGTTCTCTTTATAGAATTTTAATAGGAAATGAATTATGAAAATATTATGCCTTTGAAAAGAATAGATCAATGGAGTATTGATAAATTGCAGAAATCTTTGAAATTCAAATGAAACAATTTTCTCATGCTAAATGTTTAAAGTGACTGAACTAATGGAAATTTTTTTTTTCCATAAGTTGCAGAATCAGCTTTATTACATTTACATTTTGTCTCCTCATTCTGCTCTGTTCTTAGAAAAGGAATGGAAGACAGGATTCCAAGACAGGATTCAAACTCACTGTATGATTGACAGCACCCGTTTTATCTTGCTAGTTTTAAAGAGGGGATGCTACAACCAGGATTAGAGAAATTTTTGTCCTATTGTAGTACTGCTACCCAAAGTGCTGGTCTGCGATGAGATAACGAGTTTGCTCTGGAATGTAAATCATTTCACTGCTTCCTTCATTAAGAAAGTCTTTCTATGAAAAAGCAATACCGTGGGCTTAGTGATGTAGTTGATTTAATTTCCAGCAGAGTTCCTCATTTCATCATGGACCTGTTAAACAGTTCACAAACTGGCAGCAGCATATAAACTGCATTCTGAGTACCCCTGTTCTACAGGAGTTACTTTTTCTCCATTTTCTGAAGATTGAGTCTACTTTAGCTTGTGATGTACCTAAGTACCTTCATCCCCATATTGCTTTTTAGGTAAATAAATGAACAGCTGTTGAATGTAAAAAGAACAACAGCAAAAGAGTATAAATGCAACAGATTTAAACTATAAAAGAATTTCTTGTTTGTAACCTATTATAATAGATTATTGAAGGAGCTGTATTGAAGATATGCATGATCCTGCATGGTTTTAATGAGACAGGCTTGTCTAATTTTATGAGTCCTAAATGTTGAAAGCCCATTAACCCTTTAACACTACAAATTCTCCTGAGATGTTCAGAGATAATTCTTAAAGTTTGAGCTATAGGTTGAAGAATCTAGAAGTAAAAAAGTGGGAGAGAAATGGAAAAATAATATAACCAAAAAAGGCATATGCAGTTATGAAGGAAGAAAAGACAACTCAAGTTTTAGAAGTCCATATTTGAAATTAGAAAGCATTCTTAATACATGTTACTCCAGGAATTAATTTTGGTAGTATTACAAATAAGATATATATGAACTAATTGTTTCAGTCAGCTGTTTAAGCGGAAAACACATTGGAAATAAACTGAGTTTTACAAATTGATAAAAGAATAATTGTTGAAATGTGAAATTAACAGCCTCAAAAAAAAAGATCCAGGTGAATTCTAGTACTCTCTGTAATTTGTGGCTGGATCACCAATCTGTCTTTCATGAATTCTCTAACATTTTGAGGCAGCATGGTACAGTAGAAAGAACTTCAGTTTTTGAGTTAGACAAACCTGGGTTCAAATTTCAGTTTTTCTACTTACTAATCATATGACTTTATTCAAGTTATTTAATGTTTCTGAGCCTCACTGTCCTCATCTGTAAAATAAAATAAAATAATACCTGTATTCCAAGATTGTTAAAATTAGAAGATGATATATATAAAATACCAGTGCCTGGTACATAGAAAGCCAATAAATGGTAACTATAATCATCTTTCAGTCAGATAAATGATACATGATATTGGTGATGGCAGTGATGTGTGGAGGTTAAGGAAATCAATCATTCTCTCTCAGATCTTGGAACTTCTAAAACTAGATTATAATCTGAGATGACTGTGGGCTACTTTTACTTTCTAGAAAGTAGTTGGTGTTTGGAGGACAGTAATGGCAGGAGCAGAGGAAGAAGGTAAATCACCTTCTATGCTTTTGTCTTACGTTTATTAATTTTGGGCTCTACCTTTCATCTCCCTTCTATTTTGTATGCCTAGTATCAAGCATCTCATAATCAAACAGTTCACACAATGGGATTTAAAATACATGTAGAAATATTGTATCATTTTCAGAAAGTATTTGGGTAGTTAAGGTATACTTCTAATATACTGTGATTTTTTTTTTCTTTTCCTTTCCTCTTAAGCTGAGCCATTATCTGGATATTGTGGAAGTAAACATTGCTCACCAGATCTCTCTACGTTCAGAAGCATTTTTTCATGCAATGACCTCTCAACACGAATTGCAGGACTACCTCAAGAAAACTTCCCAGGCTGTAAAAATGCTTCGAGATAAAATTGCACAGATTGATAAAGTAATGTGTGAAGGATCACTACACATTTTAAGACTGGCACTTACCAGAAATAATTGTGTTAAAGTATACAATAAACTGAAATTAATGGCCACTGTACACCAGACTCAGCCTACAGTACAGGTGTTGTTATCTACTTCTGAATTTGTCGGAGCATTGGACTTAATAGCAACAACGCAAGAGGTTCTACAGCAGGAACTTCAGGGCATTCACAGCTTCCGGTATGTCCATTAAGTAAGCCATTAGAAATAATGTTAGAAATTTCTAAAGGATAAATTTTAGTGTGTAATGTTAGCTGAAAATCTATGAATGTGTTAGAGTTACAAGCGTATTTTTTTCTTCCAGATTGATCTGTTTAATAATGTTATCATTCTGATATTTTAGTCTTACTAAAACAAACAAAAATCATAAGGACCAATATTTACAGAGACATTTGGATAAAGAAGTAAAATTAAATTTTCTAATAGATGAAATCAACGAAGGGCCAGTCACAGCTTTGAAAATTATATTTTGAAAATGTTGAAGCAGTTTTGTGTCAAGATAATAGATAAAGGTGGAAAAAGGAATACTAGTATAGCTGAAATTAAGTTCATTTTAAAAGCCATTGAATAAGTTTTAAATTAGATAATTATTCAAATTCATTTCTCATTTACAGTCTATCACATTGCAAAAAATTCCAAACGATGATGGAAAAGACCCAATTTCTTCTAAGTTTTTATTTTGAAAATACCTTTAAGATTAGGGTTTTAGTTATTTTATGTGAGATCATGTCATATGTTTAATTTACAGATTACACCAATTGTAAGCCATCAAAATTTCATTCAGTTAATCAGGCTTGCAGTTTCCTTGTTGAAGTTCCTATCTGCTGGGAAACCTTATACTACTGAGTGACTACAAAGAAGTTTTATGGAAGACGTGCTCTGTAACTTAATATATTCTGGAAAGGTTATCTTCAATATAAGTTTATTTTAATTGAATTATAAGTTCTTATTGACTAAGGATATGTAATTGGAATATTTATTTTGAAAGCACTTTTAAAAAGTTGGCCCAGTTTTAATTATGCAAATGAATGATTGATTCATTTATTCAAGAAATGGTTATTGATTACATGACAGACACCAGGCAGAATACTGGGAATATAGCCATGAACAAAGCAGAGATGCTTTCTGCTCTGTTTCTACAATTTATTTGGTAGGAGGGAGACAGAAATTACTGGATAGTTATTATACAGTACAGTACAGTATGATGATGAACGTACAGATTGCTATGGAGCCTAACCTTAGGGGAAGAACCTTATCCAGACTTGGATGTTTACAGAAAAAGTTTGGATCACAAACCTCTTTGAGAATCTGTTGAAAGCTGTGGATGGACCTTCTTTCCATAAAAATATACCTGTACACAAAATGTTGCAATCAATTTTGGGTGGTTCGTAGTCCTTTGAAGCCTACTTTGGATTTCTCAGCATGGGAACCCAGGGTGACTAAATGATTTTTAGTTTCCCCTTTACCTCTGAAAATTTAAATATTTCTCTGTTTTGAATGTGTATATGGCATATATTTTTAAAATAAATAATATTAATTTTGTCAGTATTTTAGCAAAATGGACTTCTGTAATGACAGAAGCTGTGTTTTTTCTTGTCACCACTATATTATACGAATTTGATGAATATTGGGAGCTGATTCTACAAAGCAGAGTGCTTTATCCTCTGAATAGAGCAGTAGAAACAAAGATTAAATGCTTGCCTGCTAAACACAAATTCTGAAACTGTTCTCATTTTTACTCCAAAGGTCATGCAGTTTATTTTATTTCATTTTCCTGACTCATAAGTTTATGCCCAATAATAGTGATGAAAAGTTTAGTTTTCTCCAGAGCTATCTGGAAAATATTTAAGAACAGGGTTGGATATTTATTCCCAGTAGATTATGATTTATCAGAGGCAGAATGAAAATTTTATAATCTTTTAATTATCTTGAGCTCAAGAAAGAGTTTACCTTTATTTTCATCCTTACTTTTTTTGTTTGTACCTTAACTCAAAGGACAAAATATTCTTCATACAAAAGTGTATATGATTTTTTAAAAGACTTTCAAATATTCTGATTATCTATGTTTTACTCAAATATCTACTATTATTTTTTTAGAACCTGCACATTTGTAAAGAGTGTTTATTCTTCATATAAAATATAATATATATGAAAATATATTTGAACCTTGATATCTTGCAGGTTTCGTATAGAAAAGATTCAGTTACCTTGAAATTCAGGGATATAATGTTGTTATTTGCTGTTTCTTACTGTAAAGTTTTATGTAGAGACTTCAGTTTTCACCACTGTTAATTTTTTTTCTTTATTACTTACTACCACCATTACTCTACTACTGCCACCACTACAAAACCTAAGAACATTTTTTGAATACTTTGGTATTCTGTACCAGTGCTAAGAATATTGCATATATTATTTGATCCCCCTCCCCACTCCAAAAAAACCCTTCTATGAGATAGATAGTTTTATCCCCATTTTAATAGATAAGGAAACTGGAGCATTGAAAATCTTAGATAACTTGCTCCAAGTCATACAGCAAGTTGTAAAACAGTAGAGTCAAGATTCAACCCAGATCTCATCTGACCCAAGAGTTATGTATACTTTTTAATATATTTGATTGAGGTTTTGTAGGACCTCAAATAGGTCACTCTGAACATCAGTGCTAATTTTCTAGTGCAATAGATGTTAAACTGTGGGCAACTGAGTTAGAGGTTTGCTGAGAAGGGAATCTACCATAGTAATAGATTTTAGGATAAAAATTAATGTAACTAGTTTTTCTAGTCGTACCCCGCTGCCGCCTCCGCCTCCGCCGCCTCCTCCTCCTCCTCCTCCTCCTTCTTTTCTTCTTCTTTTCTTCTTCTTCTTCCTGAAAGAAAAGGTGGAAAACATTCAGAGTTAATTATAGGTTCCAGCTTATTATGATTTCATTGATCAGAGGCCACCTTGGGATTCCACTTAAGGGATTTTTATTATTGGAAGTAGTAAAAGGTATTTAACATCATCTTTGCTCCTATATAATCTCCCATAATTTAGATCTTGAAAACATTATGATTTGAAAACACCCACATTGTGTGCTCTGAGGTGAAGCCAAAACAACAGATTTTCTGCTATTTGATGAAACTAGTATTACTGTAGGGTTTATTGATATAAATATCAATATTTATATCAATATAAATAATGAAAGCATTTATATTGTGATGAAAGCAACACAAAAGTCATTGTAGTGAACCCACAGCTTAGTAGAAGATCTGAATTCATGTACAAATTGAGGCATATTAAAGTAGAAAGTATTAGAATTGCTCCAGTTTGTTTAGCTGGATATATGAGCCTATGTACTTTTTCAGAAAGTGATTTTTAGTTATTTGTCTGTCATTTCAGCAGATTTCTTTCACCACTGTAAAGTATTATATGTGATTATTAGGATACATACTTTTAAAATGAACTGTTAGCAGATTTATCTATTAAATATTTTTGGTAAGTTTAATAATAATATACAGGCCAGTTATAATTGCATCTATTGTTAAAGTAGTCTAAAATATTTTAAAAACAGAGCAAGGATGAATAGGTGAATCCTATAAAACACTAATTCTAGAAATTTTATTTAGGGATTTGCTTAGACAAATCTTTTTATATATGTTATCATATACCTGTGAGTACATAATAAATACTTTTTGATGTTAGTATTGAGATTCATATCTGCTCTTCTTTATTATATTTGTCAGACTTTAAGATTACTTAAGATGCGTAAAAATGAAGCTATTCAGTTATTTTTGACAATATCTGAAGATAATAGAACCACACATTTAAGTTATTAGGCTGAAATGATAGAGTTTTATCACTTTGATGCCCAAACATCAGTAGATACAGTCCTATGGACTTCCTTTCATCATTCTTTGTTGGGATTTGCTGAAGACTATTTGTACCTGAAGGTAACACATACTTGGGTGTTAACCTCTAGTCTGCATTTAAAAGGAATTTTTGATCTTTATAAAAATCAATTAACTGAGAACAAAGCAATGTTAAACTTATGTGTGGATTCATATCCTACCCTATTACTGCTTTTTAAAACTTATTGAAAACTGAAACATACACAAAAATAGAGGAAATTATATGAAGAGAGTTATATGAAGCTGGATAACTTGCATATCACCTGTGAGTTATCAACTCATAGCCAACTTGGTTTTCTCTATATGCCTCCCCCTACTCCTGGATTATTTTGAAACAAATCCAAAACATCATTTCATTTCGTCCATAAGTATTTCATTATGTATCTCTGAAAGATAAGGATCTTTAAAAGCATAACTCGAATATCATTCATAGTTTCAAATAGCTAGTCAGTGTTCAGATTTTCCTATTTCTCTCAAAATTCTTTTCACAGTGTATTTGTTGAAACAGGATCCAAATAATAACAACTGTATATTACAATTGGTTGATATATTTCAAATGTCTTTTGACATATAGTTCTCCATTCTTCTCATTTTCTCCCTTTCAAAATATTTATTGAAGAAATTGAGTTGTCTTTGTAGTGCTTCTCACAGTCTGGATGTTGCCAACTGCATCCCCATGTTTAGTGTGTTTTCCTTTTACTTGTATTTTCTATAAACTGGTAGTTAGATTTAAAGCCTTGATCAGATTTAAGTTTTTCTTTTTGGTAAGAGTACCTAATAGGTGTATTTCAGCCAAGAGGCATATATCTGGTTGTCTCTTTTTTCATGAAGTTAGCAGCCATTTGGTGATCATTGCCTAGATTTATCATCTCATTATGGGTTGCAAATCATGATATTCTAATTCTAAACTTCCTTATTCATTTATTAATGGAATATTTCTATAAAGCCATATTTCTCCATAACAATTACTTGGTAATTCTGAAGGACAGTTCTTACAAGGATAGGCAAGATAAAGTCTAGGTTCTTTTCCTTTATTTAGCAGTTTTTAAAATAATGAATTGAAAAATGTTGCATCTTCCAAATGTTTTATAAGCACATGGATTTATATATATTTGAAGTATTAAGGTTTTTTTTAAATTGATGTTCATATTGTCCTATCTTTTGTAGGAACCTCCTCAAGTCCTTTAGATTCTATGAGTAGTCATTAATGATTTTCTTCATGTTATGACAGGATATTTATATTATACATTTTCTGCTCCATATTTGTAAACTGCCATTTCTCTAAGGAGCCCTAGTTTCTTTTAGCAGGAAATGGTATTTAGAAATTACAATCTAGGTATCAGAGGTGTTCCTTGCTACTGGATTGGTCATGATCTCTAGGCCTTTTTAGTGGGTAGAGCTAGAAAATAATTTTCCCTCTTTTTCTTAAGGTATATCCCTTATGGTATGAATGGATAAATTACTGTGTTTTAAAGTCACTTGAAATAATTCCTCTTTGTGTAGATTTGCCTGTACTTTGATACATAGTTAAGTTCATTTGTTTCATTTGCTTTTGATATTCAGGGATTGCTGTTTTTAAATGTAATATTGTTTTACAACTATGTTAAGTAGTTACATAGTTCCAAAGTCAAATCTATAAAACAAAAAATATTCAGAGAAATTTAACTTCTAACTTGGTTCTCTTCCTCTGGACCTACTCCTATGTCATTTAAAAAAGTTTTAGTTTATGTTTATTTATCCATCTCTCTGTCGGTCCCTCATCTTAGATAAGCATTAGCATACTGTACATACTTTTCTCCACCATGGGGTTTTTACCTTACAGTATATACCTTGTAGATCATGCTACAGTATGCATTCTCAATGGGGGATATCACCCAAAGAGGGGAGAAAGTTTGTTCTTGAAGGGTGAAAAAAATTCTTGGATTTTACAATGGTTTGTGGCCCTCCAAAGACCACAGTACATAAACGGATTTACAGTATATCTGTGATATTAAAACTTCATGGGGAGTGATTAGGAATAAAAATGTCTGAAAAGACTTTTTAGGGGGGCAGTAGTTGAGAAAGTGCTCTGTAGCAGTATATAGTATATTAATTGGTACTCCTCGATTCTTTTAAAAGTGTATAGGGTCTATTATGATATATTTAACTAGCCTTCTGTTGTTCAGCATTTGGGTTGTTTCCATTCCTTTGCAATTACCAACAGTGCTGCAATGAATGTATGTTCTTTTGTCATTTACTAGTGTATCTTTGAGATGGATTCTGAGAAGTCAGATTCCTAGGTCAAAGGCTAATTGTCTATGTAATTTTGCAAGACACTGCCAAATTCCTTTTATGGCAGTGTTTTAGTTTGTAAGAGTGGATATGTTATAAATTAGTTTATTGTGAGATGTTGTCACCATTTATGAGAACCTTATTAGACTTCTAATTAGCTGAGAGAAATATAATTTTCATATTGCAAAAAGCAAATTTATGTTATTTCACTTATCAGATTTTTTCTAAAAGTATCACTGCACTACTTACCATATTGTTGTTGTTCATAAAAGAAGAACAACGGATCTATCTAAAAGGTCACATGCTTTAATTTTTTTTTAATGTGCTATATCTGGTCATAGTAAAGACAGTTGCTAACATTAAGGGCTTGTTTTTCAAGTAAATGTAGCATAAACTTTTAAAATGTTTTTATAATTAATTATAAATGTTTACATTTAAGATAAATTTCACTTGATTTTTGAAATGCTTTGGACCAACTGGATTACCTAGGTTTCTTCAACCCATTGTTTTTATGAAACTTTTAGATTGTGTGGCAAAAATCCCTTTGGATATGACAGTATTCATCCTTAGTGCCCTTCAGAGCAAGGATTAACTACCTGGGACCACTCTTGTCACTTGGACAGTACTTGCTTTTTCTAGGGAAAAGGTTCCAAATCTCTTTAGTAATACTTGCCCTCACCACCCCCACAACTCTGCCAAAGTTAGAGTCCTGCTCACTTTAACCCTAGCCAGGATCTGCAGGTACTGAAGAGGTGGACTAAAAAGGAACATCATACTTCATGAGAAGAAGTTCCATGGATAGATTATAGCTCAGTGACTTTAGATCTTCACTCATGTGTTCTAATGACTTTAATGGCCTGAGGGATATTGCACAGTAACTCAACTGATCCTGACAGAGGTTGAGCTGAGTCAGTCTCTCCTATAGTCCTTCAAATATTTATATGTACCCAGAACAGGGCCTGGTGCATAGTAAGCGCTTGTATTTATTGCATAAGTGAATGGCTGGGGAGCTACTGACATTTATATTCAGTAAGTGGTTAATGAGGAAAGGACTTAGAATATCTGAATATTTTGTCTGTGAAAAGCAGACTAAAAAGCAGTCATGAAGTTTTCTAGAACCAAGTTTCCTATAGTATATTTAACTGTTTGGAGGTTAAAGATATACAGAGAAAAATAGAATTTGGGAGATGACGTGAAACTGTCGCAGTTATTTTTGTTAAGTTAAAAGACTCTATTTTAGTAAAACATCACCTTGTTGCACAAGTACTGTCAGCTAGAAGTTTTGCTGACGGGTTCCCTTGATCGTGGAGTAAATCTGGGTTTTTAATAAATGAGGTAACGTTTCCCTCTTCCTTTGTAGGCATTTGGGATCACAGCTTTGTGAATTAGAAAAACTGATAGATAAAATGATGATTGCAGAATTTTCTACTTATTCTCACAGTGACTTAAATAGACCATTGGAAGATGACTGTCAAATTTTAGAAGAGGTATGTCTTTTGAACTATAGAATGAAATTGATGTCATTGCTTAGTGTTATTTCCTAACAACCTTAGTTTAGAACACATTCTCCTCAGGTTATAGTGAGCAAAATTATCTTCAATATCAAGCCTGTGAGACCTATGAAATCTTTCACTAACTATGTGACTTTAGGAAGCACATAATTGTTTATTATCCTGTGAAATTAGAGAATAAATAATTTTATAGCTTAATTAGAAATGGGAGTTAAAATGAAGTCTTTATATGGCTTACTACCCAAGTTCCAAATATAGATATAGGATGTAGATATAGGATGAATTAACTTATATCCATGTATATGCATGTATTAGAGTGTGTCTTTTATAAAAAGTGATCATTATTATATGGTAACTTATGAGTCATTCACATTCACTGAGCACCTATTATGAACATGTTTTATGCATATGCATATACAAATATATCATATTTGGTAACTTATCTAGTAACTTCTCAACGCTGATTATTGCCAAGAACTTGTAAAGAATCCAAAAAGCCCTGATAGCAGCCTAAGTAGTTAAAGAGATTTTTGTAAATGTTAGCAGTTAATGCTCCACAAATAATCCAGGTCATCGTTCCAGTCTTCTAGACCACTAATTAGAAAGCACTGGGCTCATAGAGTATTTATTGGTTATTAGGGTTTGAGAAGAATACTTTCTAGCTACTTACTGAAACTAGACCAAAATATACTCATATTGTTTTGTCCCCAAACCAGCTTCATTTGATCCACTATAGTAGGATAGGATTTACCTGTTTTAGAATAATGACTCCAAAAATCTGATGACAAGATTGCTATGGAAAGGGGTTTTTAAGCCTTTTAGAAAATACTCAAAGGAGGATAGAGATTTGGGGGTCAAACAATAAAACCCTTGACGTTGATTATTTCTACCTCTAAGTGAGATTATTTTGTATTTGAATTTTGACATTGTGTACCCTTCTTTTATTTTAACAGGAAAGACTAGTATCTCTTATATTTGGACTTTTAAAACAAAGAAAACTTAATTTTTTAGAAATATATAGTGAAGAAATGATTATTACAGCAAAGAATATCATTAAACAGGTAATTATACTTTTTTATTTGATATATTTTCATCTAGAATCTTTTGTGAAGTTTATTTTTACATGATCCTCTAATAATACATGCAGTATCATAGTAATATTTTCTCATTTATTAAAAAATTTTAAATATAGAAAAATAGAAGAAAGAAAAACATAGCCCATAGTCAAAAAGATGATCACTTTAAGAATATTTCTAGGGCTTCCCTGGTGGCACAGTGGAAGGGAGTCCACCTGCCGACGCAGGGGACACGGGTTCGTGCCCCAGTCCGGGAGGATCCCACGTGCCGCGGAGCAGCTGGCCCCGTGAGCCATGGCCACTGGGCCTGCGCATCCGGAGCCTGTGCTCCGCAGCGGGAGAAGGCCACAGCAGTGAGAGGCCCCCGTACCGAAAAAAAAAAAAAGAATATTTCTAAGCATAAGTTGTTACTGGTGTTTTTCATTGGTGCTCTCATACTGTATATATAATTTTGAATTGTATATATATTTCCGTTTGAATCATAGCATAAGTATTTGCTCATAAGCCTTCAGAAATATCACTTTTAATGGTTGTATAAAATTCCATCAACATTATGTTAGTTAAACCTGTTTAAGCTTTCCTCTGTGTTAAATATTTAGGTCATTTTCATTTCGGTACTATAAAGAGCACTGTGACAAACATCTTTGGTATGCTTTGGTATAAAGTCTTGTTTGTTTGGTTTCTCGTATTTAAGACTATTTTTCTTATAACTGATTCCTGAAGTGGAACTATTGGTCAGAGAGTGAAAAGTATTTTTAAATTGTTTGATACATAGAGCTGAATTGCTTTTTTTGTAAAAAGATTTTACCAATAGTATATACTTTCACCAGTGTTTCTTCTTACTCTGATCTCTAAGAAATTATAATTGTAAACTAAAATCTATTTGTTTTTTTTTTTAGTCTTCCCTGATTTTTTTCCCAAGCTAATTGGTATTTATTACAACACAATTGGCATAAAGTGATAAAGTGGAGTTGTCAGACATTTTACATCTGCAGTACTTTTAGAAATTAAAAGAAAGAGCTTACCACCTACAATGCTATCAAAGTTTCAGTATTTGTCATCTATTCATTAGAAAGTAGATATACATTTTAAGGTTATTTCAGTTTTAAAGATGTGAAATTCAAGTTGCTGCTATATTTCATGAGATACAATTTTTTTCCATGAGCAGTTTTTTTTTTTTACATCTTTATTGGAGTACAATTGCTTTACAATGTTGTGTTAGTTTCCGCTGTACAACAAAGTGAATCAGCTATATGTATACACTTCCCTGATTTTTGTTTTGACTTTTTCTATTCAGATAAATCTCATTCTCTGAACTTTAGTTTTTCTGTATATGAAAAAGAACAATTTTGAATGAATTTCTTAGGCTTAATTGATCATCATCATTAGGTTGAATGTACATTTCTTAGTTTTTAATGTTTAAATAAAACAAGCAAGAGAAAGGTTACAATCACCCCATCTTTTACCTCTTTCAAACATTGACTAAAACACCATATTTTAAAATTATCACTGTCACTTCCAAAAATTGTTGATAACTAGCACTAAATATACATGTATATTATAGCTTAGCAATTCTACTTCTAGGTAATTTACCCAACAGAAATTCATACCTAGGCTCACCAGAAACAGCACAAGCATTCCATGGCAGCATATTTGTAATAAAAAACCGGAAAAACTCAGATTTTATCATCAGTAAAAATGATAAATAGAATTGTAGCATATTTACATCATTGAATACTGTACAGCAATGAGAATGAATAAACTACATGGAACAACATGGATATTCACATACATAAGGTGGAGCCAAAGAAGCCAGACACGGAAAAGTACACACTGTATGATTCCACTTATGTAAGATTCAAACACGGGCAAAATTAATCTGTGGTGTTAGAAATCAGGATAGTAATGTCTTTTGGGAGGAAGTAGTGACTAGGAGTGGAGCAGGAGGGGCTTACTGGTAATATTCAATTTCATAATCTGAGTTCTGGTTAAATAGGTGCACTCCACTTATAAAAAAAATATTGAGCTATAAACATAATTTGTACAGTTTTCTGTATGTATATTATACTTTTAAACAGTTTTTAAAAACTGCTGTGTTTTAATTGCTAGACTTCTAAAGTCTGAGCATTTATTTTTTAAAACCTTAAACTGTTGCACGTGTTGCAAGGAAGTGTGACCTCCAAAATGAATTTCTTTTGGAATTTTAGTATGGGGCTTATACCATGTCCTAAGTATTATAGTTCTATGGGGGTTTTGTGTGTGTGCGTGTGTGTTTGTGTGTGTTGTGTGTGTATTTGTGTGTGAACAGTTTTAAATAGTAGGAAATTGTGATTAATACAGTTCAAGCATACCCTGGAATAATTATTTAATAGGGTAAAGGTAATGCTGTAGTTTTTTAAACACCTTGAGGTGTAAGAGACAGGAGAAGTTTGGTCAAATAATTATAGTCATTGAGGCCCTTATTAATATACAAATGAACATGTAGTACTTAAAGTTCTAAAGACGTTAATCAAATTTTTTTCTTAAATTTTGCAGTGTGTGATTAATAAAGTTTCACAAATAGAAGACATAGACACAGATGTTGTTTTGAAGTAAGTATAAATATTCAGTTGGGGTTACCAGTCAGGGAAAAGATAACGCATTAGAATAATCTAAGGAGGATTTAGTTCAGGAATTATTTGCTAAGGTGTGGGCAGAGTGTAGGAAAATCACAAGTGATAGTGCAGTACCTTTAAGGGACAAAGAAAGAGAGCAGTTAATGGAATTCAGAAGGAGAAGAAGATATAAGTAGCTGAAAAAAAAAGTCTTTTAGTAGTTGAAGTGATCTTCAGTGGAGGGAGGCAGTCATCCTGAGGTAACCCCTCAGGGATGGAGACGGACTATTAGCACCTTTCCTCCTTTCAGTCTTTTGTAAGGGCTCCTCACTGGCCAAGCCCAGCAGGTCAGCCTCCCAGGGCAGAGAGAGGGTGGAGAGGATACAACGTCATATGGAGGGTGGAAATTGAAGAGGAATAGCAGTGTTAAATTTAAATTATTTAGCTATATAATTAAAACCCAGTTAGCTTTGAGAAGTTTGAGTACATGATTTTGAATTGTCCATGTCTGTAATTTTTTGTTTTCCCCTTGAAATAACTATTCTTATTTTAAGGAGAATAGTGATAAATATTTTATGACTATGAATTTCTTGTTCATATAGGTATCTAAACTTTATTAACTGGTCTAAGATATGAATAGTAATATGGACAACTGTAAAACTTCTCTGGGCCAGACTCATAGAATGAGGATTGTGGAGTTTTAATTTCCACACTATTACCTAGTGAAAGCTCAGTTTCAGAATTCAGAAGCAATCCTAATAATGCAGGGATCACTAGTAGTTGGAAAAATTAAGTTACTGGACCTTTGCTAAAAGCCCTATATACATGGAGAGTCAGTTATTTTTAATACTTTTCTTCCCTAGGGAATTTTCTCAACTTAGAGAACATCCTATATCTCAAGTGTATAGCAGTATCTTTTGAGAATAAAGTCCTAGGTGTAGCCACGTTAATTAAAAATTTGGAGTAATAAGTCATTGTAGTACTCTAAAATATCTTTATGGAATTCTATTTTTTTATTAATTTTTAATCTTAAAGTTGATTGATGTCAGTTATAAAAATATTGGCTGTACTATTATGTATTGTAATATTTAGTATATATATAATATATATGTAGCTAATATAATATTGGCTAATACTTACATAGCACTGTGCATTGTTCTGAGTACTTCGTATTAACTCAGTTTATATTCACAGCTACCATATAAGGTAGGTTCTACCCATTTAAAATGAGAAAATTAGATCATGGAGGAGTTAAGTCATTTGTCCAGAGTCACACAACTAGTAAGTGGCAGGGCTGGAACTTGAACCAAGGCATTATGGCTTAAGAGCCCATGCTCTTAGCCACCGTGCCACATGATCCTTCATATGTGGAAGAGTACTTTTTAGTTTGTAGTTAGAAAAGTGGTTATTAAGTTTATTAGGGGAGATGTTATGTTTCTGTTTTTTTTTTAACATTTTTATTGGAGTATAATTGCCTTATACTCCGCTTTATAACAAAGTAAATCAGTCATACGTATACATATATCCCCATATCTCTTCCCTCTTGCATCTCCCTCCCTCCCACCCTCCCTCTCCCACCCTTCTAGCTGGTCACAAAGCACCTAGCTGATCTCCCTGTGCTATGCGACTGCTTCCCACTATCTATCTATTTTACATTTAGTAGTGTATATATGTCCATATATACACTACCACTCTCTCACTTTGTCTCATCTTACCCTTCCCCCTCCCTGTGTCCTCAAGTCCATTCTCTAGTAGGTCTGTGTCTTTATTCCCATCTTGCCCCTCGGTTCTTCATGACCATTTTTTTTTTTTGATTCCATATATATGTGTTAGCATACGGTATTTGTTTTTCTCTTTCTGACTTACTTCACTCTGTATGACAGACTGTAGGTCCATCCACCTCACTACAAATAACTCAATTTCGTTTCTTTTTATGGCTGAGTAATATTCCATTGTATATATGTGCCACATCTTCTTTATCCGTTCATCTGTCTATGGACACTTAGGTTGCTTCCGTGTCCTGGCTATTGTAAATAGAGCTGCAGTGAACATTGTGGTACGTGACTCTTTTTGAATTACGGCTTTCTCAGGGTATATGCCCAATAGTGGGATTGCTGGGTTGTATGGTAGTTCTATTTGTAGTTTTTTAAGAAACCTCCATACTGTTCTCCATAGTGGCTGTATCAATTTACATTCCTACCAACAGTGCAAGAGAGTTCCCTTTTCTCCACACCCTCTCCAGCATTTATTGCTTCTACAGTTTTTGATGATGGCCATTCTGACTGGTGTGAGATGATATCACATTGTAGTTTTGATTTGCATTTCTCTAATGATTAATGATGTTGAGCATTCTTTCATGTGTTTGTTGGCAATCTGTATATCTTCTTTGGAGAAATGTCTGTTTAGGTCTTCTGCCATTTTTGGATTGGGTTGTTTGTTTTATTGATATTGAGCTGCATGAGCTGCTTGTAAATTTTGGAGATTAATCCTTTGTCAGTTGCTTCATTTGCAAATATTTTCTCCCATTCTGAGGGCTGTCTTTTAGTCTTGTTTATGGTTTCCTTTGCTGTGCAAAAGCTTTTAAGTTTCATTAGGTCCCATTTGTTTATTTTTGTTTTTATTTCCATTTCTCTAGGAGGTGGGTCAGAAAGGATCTTGCTGTGATTTATGTCGTAGAGTGTTCTTCCTACATTTTCCTCTAAGAGTTTGATAGTGTCTGGCCTTACATTTAGGTCTTTAATCCATTTTGAGTTTATTTTTGTGTATGGTGTTACAGAGTGTTCTAATTTCATTCTTTTACATGTAGCTGTCCAGTTTTCCCAGCACTACTTATTGAAGAGGCTCATTTATTAAGGGAGATGTTATGTTTCTATTTTTATTCCAGAATATACATGATAAGATTCATAAGTCAGTGTACTTGACTAGTCTTGGAGATGTTTAAACAAGGAGAAGTTGCTTAGTAATTGACATCTTCATCTCAATTTTACAATTTTAGCTAGGTATCTAGATTAAATTGCGTTTTATTATTCTTTTGTTGCTAGTATTTACTATAGTTTCCTCCAATTTGTATATAACACCATATGGCCTGAAGACAGTCATTATTTTTGTTTGAATTTTTTTTTCTAGGCTTGCAGATCAGATGAGAATGTTGAATTTTCTTCAGTGGTTTGATCTGCTAAAGGATATTTTCTCTAAGTTTACAGTTTTCCTACAGAGAGTTAAGGTAAGCTTATGTGTTTATCAGTTTGTCCAGAATATCCCTAAAGTTAAGTCATCTTTCTAGATATGAAAATTAGAATAAAACAAAATTTCTTTGTTTCTATAATTTTTCTAAAGGGTTTTAAATTAGATTTGAAGTGCTTCAGAGTATTTTGGTACCTTTTTATAATTTTGGATGATATGTTTTATTTTAAAATATGATGCTTACTTGGCATTAAATATTATACAGTAATATTTCCTTTTGTGATTTTGTGATGCTTGAATCTCTGTAGATTACCTAGAATTACAATATTGTGAAACATTCAAAAATCTATCCCAAACCACTTAATTTTTCTAGGAATTTAATGTTGATATAATGGTGTTTTTTAACATATGGTTCATATTTAAATTACTCTACTAATGTTCTTTATTGCAGGTTTTTTTTTCATTTTTCAATCTGGAATCCATTCATGTATCATGCATTGCACTTAATTACTTTGTCCCTTTGGTCAAACAACTTAATTTTTATCCAGTCTTTATAAGGAAAAGAACACATGCCACACAGCATTTTTCAGAAGAAAAAATGTCACAGACTCTAATACATGTTGGTTGGGATTACCAACGTGTCATAACTGTGTTTTAATAAGACAGTCATTAGGAATTACTGAGTATAACAGGCTGTTTGTGAAATGTGATATTCTTTGAATTATCAGGTGTCAATATTGTATTTATGTCCTAGTTAACATCCCTGGCATCTCCTGAGTTTCATGTTAAAAATGATCTGGGGGACTTTGGTACTTAATCTGTGATATGACTTCCTTATTGACATTGACATGCTCTAAGTCACATACATAAGCTTTCCAGTCAGAGTGGGAAAAGTTTTATAAAATGTGATTCACTATACTTAATTCAGACTCCTACCAAAATGTTGATCCTATCCATTGATACTGATAGATAGCAAACCTTTATCTGTGGATTGCACAGTAACGAGGCCTTGTTTTCACTTTTTCTTATATTCCTACCATGACCTTATCACACACAGGTCTGGATGTATAGAACTCCTATATTGCATAGTTAGAACTGGCCAACTTTTTGCCAGTTATTTTTAGGTAGCTATCTTACTTTTAGGTTTTATATCAGTTAAACTAAGCCACATTATTATTTGATGTATGTACAATATGCGAACAGTGATTTGTCCTAATTGTAGCATCTTATTTTCACATTTAGGCCACTTAAACTAATACTGTTGTAAAACATCTTTGAAGATGATGTTTATTCTTTAAATATAGTGCTTTTTTCTTTGAAAAAGTTTGTGGTTCCTTGAGGGCATGATTTTGCTGAAAAATAATGTTAATTATAGCTGTTCATTTTTAATGAAGAATTTTTAAATAACTACAAATTGGAAAGAACCATGATGTCTAACAATAGAGGAATGGTAAAATAAGTTATGCCTGGTATGTTCACTATCATGGAATGTCATGCAGGCAAGGATTTTTAATGATTGAAGAAGATGCATGCATTATAACATTAAAAAGCAAGACAGAGACCTACTTAAACATATAGTCTGCTCTTAGCTGTGTTAGAAAGATTCTTTTACCTCTTCATCTCCATAGACCAAAGAGACAGCTTGTCTTTTTAGTGGTTATCTTTAGGTGGTAGTATTATGTATAATTTAAATTTGTGATTCATTCTTTTCTGTTTTTCCTAAGTTTTCTACAAAAAGAGGTATTACTTTTTTTTAATTGAACTATAGTTGATTTACAATGTTGTGTTAGTTTCTGGTATACAGCAAAGTGATTCAGTTATACATATACATATTCTTTTTCATATTCTTTTCCATTATAGTTTATTACAGGATATTGAATATGGTTCCCTGTACTATACAGTAGGACTGCTGTTTATTTTATATATAGTAGTTTGTATTTGCTAACCCCCAAATCCTAATTTATCCCCCCCCTCCCTGCCACACCACCACCACCCCCTCAGCTCTGTCCCCTTTGGTTACCATAAGTTTGTTTTCTATGTCTGTGAGTCTATTTCTGTTTTGTAAATAAGTTCATTTGTATCAGTTTTTTTAGATTCTACATATAAGTGATATCATGTGCTATGTGGTATTTGTCTTTCTCTTTCTGGCTTACTTCACTTAGTATGATAATCTCTAGGTCCATCCATGTTGCTGCAAATGACATTATTTCATTCTTTCTTACGCTGAGTAATATTCCATTGTATATATGTACCACATCTTCTTTATCCATTCATCTGTCGATGGACGTTTAGGTTGCTTCCATGTCTTGGCTATTGTAAATAGTACTGCTATGAACATTGGGTTGCATGTATCTCTTCGAATTAGAGTTTTCTCTGGATATATGCCCAGGAGTGAGACTGCTGGATTATATGGTAACTCTATTTTTAGTTTTTTAAGGAACTTCCATACTGTTCTCCATAGTGGCTGCACCAATTTACATTCCCACCAACAGTGTAGGAGGGTACCTTTTTCTCCACACTCTCTCCAGCATTTACTATTTGTAGACTTTTTGATGATGGCCGCCCTTACTGATGTAAAGTGATACCTCATTGTGGTTTTGGTTTGTATTTCTCTAATAATTAGTGATATTGAGCATCTTTTCTGGTGCCTGTTGGCCATCTGTATGTCTTCTTTGGAGAAATGTCTGTTTAGATCTTCTGCCTGTTTTTTAATTGGGTTGTTTGGGTTTTTTTTTTTTTTTTTTTTTGATTTTTTCCTGTGTGAGCTGTTTGTATATTATGGAAATTAATCCCTTGTCAGTTGCATCATTTGCAAATATTTTCTCCCAGTCCATAGGTTGTTGTTTCATTTTGTTTATGGTTTCCTTTGCTGTGCAAAAACTTTTAAGTTTAATTAGGTCCCATTTGTTTATTTTTGTTTTTATTTCCATTACTTAGGAGACAGGTCCCCCAAAATATTGCTGTGATTTACAACATGTCAAAGACTGTTCTGACTATGTTTTCTTCTAGGAGTTTTACAGTATCTGGTCCTACATTTAGTTCTTTAATCCATTTTGAGGTTTTTTTTTAATATGGTGTTAGGGAGTGTTCTCGTTTCATTCTTTTACATGTAGCTATCCAGTTTCTCCAGCACCACTTGTTGAAGAGATTGTCTTTACTCCATTGTATATTCTTGCTGTATTTTGCCCTTTGTTGTAGATTAATTGACCATGAGTGCATGGGTTTATTTCTGGGCATTAATTGTATTTTGTATTTTTATTAGAATTCTTGTTTATATCCCATAATGTAAGATGATTTGTATAGCTAAAAAAGAAAATAATCCTTAAATGCAAGCTTACATTCTTTTTTAAGAAATTTTTAACTCTTAAGTTTTCAGTTTGTTATGTGGACAAATAATTCTGGACTATCATTTTAAAGACTTATCAATATGGTTACCAGATTATTTCATTCATTATTCTCAAGACTGGAAAAATTTATTTTAGCGGTTCTGGTCTTTGAACATGAACTTGACTGTAAACTGCTGCAATATGAAAATTCAGAGAATAAATCGCGTACCTACTGTTGAATCTACTATATATTGTAAAATCTTCTGGCATCCTTAAGCAAGAATGGCTCTGGTCTTGAAAAAAATAATCAGCAAACCTTTAAAACTGTAGGTATGGTGAAAACAGTGAAGAAGAACCCTTAAGAGAACACCTGATACACTGTATATGGAAAGTTTATTGTATTAGCTAAGATGTTGTCAGTTAAAAGGGACAAAGTATTCAAATGAAACTAATTTAAACAATAAAAGAAATACATTGGCTTGGGGAACTTAAAATAGTCCAAAACGAGGATAGGCTTCATATGACGTGGTCATGGTTTTCTCGCTTAGTTTCTCTGTTTTAATTCACTTCTACCTCCTCTTTGTTGGCTTCACCTTCAAAGTAACCAACCTAATTATAGCAAAATGGCTATGTATAACAGTTTTAGGTCTTCTACATTTGTATACTCTACTTCCTAAAACAAGACTTTTTCTTCTTCAATCATCAAGAGTCCTTGGTTTTAATCCACTGGGCTGATTTAGGTTACTGTGGTCAGGACAGTGCTGTGCACTGCTTGCTTTGGGTCTGGATTTTCTTCTCACTTCTGAACTAATCCTGTGGCAAGGGGGTTGGGAGTATACTGTGTGGGATACGCAGGACTAACACCTGAAGCCGGAAGGTGGACTCAGTTTTGCATAGCTGTATTCCTATGGGAGAGGTATAGAATAGTTGTTGGGGAGAGAAAGATCATGTCCAAAGACCATGACCATTTTTTATTAAAAAAATTTTTAAGAAAGAAAATCATCAAGAGAGAAGAGATAAGGAAGAAGAAAGGCAAAATGAAGATGGGGGAGAAAGCACATCAAGATTTAGACGAGACAGTAGTGAGGATTAAAAGCAGCAATGGAGGAGTGTAGCAAGGAGCAAGTTTGTGACAATAGAGAAGTTACTGATTAATGGAGAAAGAAAATATGCAGTATCCACAGACACTCGAAGGCTCAGAATCTCTCTCATATACTCTGGAATATTGTATAATTTAGAGTGCATTTAGTTCCAAATAACAGGAAACAGAGTGTTTTAAACAATTAAGGGGGTTTATTAGTTCATATAACTGAAAAATATCCATAGATAGGTCAGCCTTTAGGTGCTTGATAGAGAGGTTGATGATGTTATCAAGCCTTGGTTTTGTTTCTCTGTGTTTCTCTCAGTCTGTCTTCTGTGTATCTTCTTTAGCTTTAAGCTCAGGTGGTTCCGTTAGTTGATTGGACTAGCTTAGACTCTTATCCTATCTTTGGAGACTTAAAGTTGGAGTCTGCTTGCCTAGAACCATGTAGATCCTAAAAAAGAAATCAAGAGTTTTAAGAAAGGGGCAACAAATTATAAGAACGCAACCATGAATGTTAAAGTAGGAATGCAGCCCCTGTTTCTTAGTAGTCCATGAAGACATTGACTTACATAAATTTACTCTTAATTCATCTAGCTTTCAGTATTTATTAAGTACCTCCTATGTGCCCAGTACTTACTATTCTAGGCAGTAGGATATAATATCTCATGGAGCTAACATTGTAGTGGAAAGAGACCTAGAATTAAAAAAATAAAAAGGTAGTGGTAACTGTTATTTAAAAAAAAACTGGTTAATGGGATAGGGTTGCTGGAAAGAGTCATAGGAGGCTTCTTTTTTTGTTGTTTTTGATTCAGTTTTATTTATTTAATTTTATTTTTTTGCCGTGCGGCATGAGGGATCTTAGTTCCCCTACCAGGGATCGAACCCGTGCCCCCTGCATTGGGAGCACGGAGTCTTAACCACTGGACCACGCTTCTTGAGGAAGTGACAGTTGTGCAGGAACCTGAGTGATGAGAAAGAAACATGTATGCAAACATCAAGGTGAAGAACATTCCGGGCAGAGGAAACAACAAAGGCACTGAGATGGGAACAGTGGAATTTAGAAGAATAGGAAGAGAACCAGAATGTCTGGAGAGCAGTGAATGAGTGAGAAAAAAGTGTAAGATGAGGAGAGAGAGATGGATTTAAGGGTAGGTTTATGGAATTAAGGAATACGGATTGTTTTATCCTTTTAAGAAAGCGCAGCAGGACTTCCCTGGTGGTGCAGTGGTTAAGAATCCGCCTGCCAATGTAGGGGACATGGGTTTGATCCCTGGTCCGGGAAGATCCCACATGTCGCGGAGCAACTAACCCCGTGCTCCACTACTGAGCCTGTGCTCTAGAGCCTGCGAGCCACAACTACTGAAGCCCATGCGCCTAGAGCCCGTGCTCCTCAACAAGAGAAGCCACTGCAACGAGAAGCCCGTGCACCGCCACAAATAGTAGCCCCCGCTCGCCGCAACTAGAGAAGGCCTGTGCACAGCAATGAATACCCAATGCAGCCAAATAAATTAATTAATTAAAAAAAAAAAACCCAGTGAATATTTGTTGCATAGATTGATTGGATACTGGTTGCTCTGTTCCAAACCCCCCCCTTTAAAAAAAATAGAAAAGAAAACACATCAGTCAATGAATATGATCGTCTGACAGGCAAGTTATGTTTAGTGTAACCTATTTAAGAAGTTAGAGAAATATGCAGTATATTTTAGGGAGATTTCCATTTACAAAATTAATTTGTAAATGGAGCCCTATGTCTGAGCTTTAGGGAACCCATCTCTTTTGAGCAATTCTTTTTCACAATTCACCTTTACTGTATAATAAAAGAAATTCTGATATGCATGACCTTGACTCATTTGTAAGATGTTCAAAAGTACATACACAGAGTTCACTTTTGGAACCTTTAGGTACAAAATATTTTAAATCCTTTAAAAATGTATCCTGTTTTCTTGTAGGCAACGTTAAATATCATTCACAGTGTTGTTCTCTCAGTTCTTGACAAAAACCAAAGGACTAGAGAATTGGTGGAGATTTCGCAGCAGAAGAATGCTGCAAAAGACAATTCAGTGGACACAGAGGTGGCTTATTTAATCCATGAAGGCATGTTTATAAGCGATGCATTCAGTGAGAGTGAATTAACACCTATAGCAATTGACACTACCTCTCAAAGAAATGCATCTCCAAATAGTGAGCCCTGCAGCAGTGATTCGGTATCCGAACCAGAATGTACTACTGATTCTTCATCCAGCAAAGAGCAGACATCATCATCTGTTACTCCAGGAGCTGTGGAGATTATGTGAGTATGGTGACTGCTGCCAAGTTAACAAGATTTTGAGTCATTAATGGTTCCAATAATATTAATTGGTTATTCAGTTTATTGGGAAACCGTGTACACTTTGGTCTTTTGGAATTTAGTTTAACAAAAATAAATTAATTTTCTGAAACATGTATCTTATTGAAAATGTATGCAAGGTAAGGAGGTGAGCATTGGAAGTAATTGAGAATTGTAGAATTTTAAGGCTGGGAAGGAACGATTTAATTAAATGCCCTCAATTTGGAGAGTTTAGATGACTTATTTAAAGTCATTAGTGGCAGAACCTGTCCTGGAACTCAGGTTAGTATTTCCTTGGTTATGTTTCTTTCTTTTACTGTGTCACCTTGGTATTTTGTATATAGTGAAAATCTGTTTGATTTACAATTTTCAGTTTTTCAGACATGAATTTCCAAGTGGGTCACACTATCTTTTTAAATATTACTTTTTTAAACTTATTTTGAAATAATTTCAAATTTACAGAAAAGTTGTCAGCATTGTACAAAAAACTCTCATATATCCTTCACCTTGCTTCCCCAGTTAATGGTTTACTACATTGCCCTCTTTCTCCCTTCCTCTCTCTTTCTCGCTCTTTTCGTCTCTCCTTTCTTTATCTCTCATGTTAAAATTTTTTCTCAATCATTTGACAATAGGTTTCAGACTTTATGTTCCAAATACTTCAGTGTATATTTCCTAAATACAGTAACACTGTCTTAAATAACTACACTATACCAATTAAAATCAAGAAAACATTGCTGCATTATTACCATCTAATGCACAAACCCCATTCAAAGTTCACCAGTTGTCCCAATAATGTTCTGAATAGGAAGAACAAAAATAAAACAGCCAATAAAATCTTTCTGGTCCAAGAACATTGTTTGTATTTTGTTATTATTAAGAATAATAAGAACTCAGTACTTTTGTTCATTTTGATGTAAGTCGGCTTATAGCCCAGGAGCTTATAAAGGTTGCAGTTATAGTGTAAAGTCAGCTATAATACCTCCCCCTCCGCACCATAAATCAATCAATCAAACCCTGAACTACATATTAATAAAATTTTTTCTTCTCTGTTCTGGCTTATATTTTCACATTTATTAGTTAGGGTTCAGTCTAAAACTGCTGTTAAAAGAGATGTAAAAACATCTGTAGCTTAAACAATGTAGAATTTTGTTTCTCTCCTGTAACAATTCAGAGGTAGGAGGTCCAGAGCTGAGAAGGTAGCTCTACCAGCTCATTGTGTAGCTTCCCTCTGTGTCTTAGGAGGTTTTATCATCTCATTTCAATCTGTAGCAGCAGGAAGGAGAGGACAAAGGCTGGTACTCTCCTTACTTTTTGTTTTGTTTTAACCTTTTAATTGGAATGTGATGCACATATAGGGAAATGGACCAGTTATAAGTGTTCAGCTCCATTTATTATAACAAAATGAACACCCTGGTGTAATCACCAAGGTTAAGAGATAGAACATTACCAGCTCTCTAGAAGCCCCCCCTTGCCACTATGCTTTCACTTTCCCCCCCCAAAAACATTAAAACTATTGGTTTTTCCAGGTTTTAAACTTTATATAAATAGAACCATAAATGGAATCATGTTCTTTAGTCTTTAATTTCTTTCATTCCACATTATATTTGTGATATTTTTCTAAGTAGTTTCATGCAGCAGTAGTTTATTTGTGCATAAATATTCCGCTTCTGACTACACCACAATGTATTTATCATTCTGTTGTTGATGAAATTTGGATTATTTTCAGTTTGATTGTTGTGAACATTCTTGTAGATGTCTTCAGTGTACATGACATAAGTATTTCTGTTGAATATATACCTAGGAATGAATAAGTATTGTGAATAGTCAATTTAACTAATGCCAAACAATTTCCCAAAGGATTGTACTCCTTTACAATCCTATCAGCTGTGTGGAAGCATTCCTATCACTCCACATCTTTATTTACTCTTGGTATTGTCAGTCTTTTACATTTTAGACATTTTGGTGGATATGTCACAGGTATAGTAGTTTAAATTTTTATTTCCCTGATGATTGATAAGAGGGCACTTTTCATATATTTATTGGCTGTTTGGATATCCTCTTCTGTGAAGGCCCTATTCAGATCCTTTGCCCACTTCTCTATTGGTTTGCCTTTTATTTCTTACTGATTTATGGGAGTTCTTTATGTAGTCCCAACACAGCCCTTTGTCAGTTGTCCATACTGCAGATATCTTCTCCCACTCTGTGGGTTGACTTTTCACTCTCTTATTGGGGTCTTTGGTGAACAAAATTCTTAATTTTAATATCTTATGATTCAGTCTTTCCTTTTATGGTTTGTGCTTTTGTGTGTGTCCTATTTAAGAAATCTTTCCC